GGCAACAACTCACAAGATACTTCCCTCTCAAATATAACGTCGTCCAATATATGACGTCATCAAGTTGCGAGTGCATATTCGAATCTCCAGGAATGACGTCATGCTAGAAGAATGTTTTATTGTAAAATAAACCGTGCATCGGTTTTCATTGTTCTTTGCGATTTATCGTGACTTGAAAAGCTATGAGATCAAAATGAATAAGTGTCAGGCTGGTTCGGCCCATAACACTGTTTAGAAGAAACACAGAATTCAGAGGTCTCAATGTCCAGATTGGACCATGAACCACCGCCTTCTAGCATAAGACTCCAGGCAAAATTGAGCATACAATTGTTTTTATCACAAATTCTAGTGTGTATCACATATATTTATTAATAATATAGATTTCATATTTATTAAGAATATAGATTTCATGTATTCCATGCTAGGGCATGACGTGACCAGGCGATTGATAGAATCGGGCCCATTCTACCACCCGTCCAGGTGAAGTAAGGGTCGAAGTGGTGTGTTGGGCAAAAGGAACAAGGGGCAGGAGAGTTGAACAAGGCGGAATATATAGAGAGCATAATGTAAATGTAACGTGCAAAGTTAGACGCACTGCAACAGCTTAAGGATTAGCATGCAGTATAACATGGCTATGAATAATATACTACCTCACAATGATTGAGTGAGTGAGTATACCATTTATATCTCGGTACAATGATTGAAGTTCCTCCACCAGCCTTATCGCCCGGAGGAGAAACAGAAATGATACGCATTGAGTTAAAATTGTCTGTCTGCTTTAAAAAGGTTTCTTGTAGACAAAATGCTGATGGTTTAAAATCCTCGACTAATAACTGCAATTCATTAATATCAGTCCTCAGTCCTCTGCAATTCCACTGAAGAATATGCGACGAAACTATCTCTTTGAGGATTAACTTGGGATCTACCGCTCACCTTCCTTGAGCGTCACAAGCTATGTGTCCTATAATGGCTGTTATCGGACACATCCATGCCTTCCAAGGATCCAAACTTATTGAACAGTTGGATCTGGTTGTCTCCTTTAGAGGGTCTACCGCTTTGATATTTTACTAAGAAAACGCGAGTACTCTCCTATCAATACAACAGACTTTGATGACTGGCCTTCTAAACTCAATTCAATTTCAATTCAATTTGTTTCTTCTCATGGAAGCACCCACGGTTGTACAAGAGCGTGTTTTACAAACAAATATATGTTCAACAAGAGTGATCATTCAGTCGAGAAGAGTACATTTAAGTATTATTTCTAAAGTATTTGTTGACATTGGAAAAGACTTCGACAAAATCATCATTTCTGCTATTTTCGTTGTGCTCAGTAAATGTTTGAGTTTATAAAGATTAGGCCATAAATAACACTTTTCGCGTATATATCTACTACGGATTGTATCGAAGGCTTGACATTCAAATAAACTATTGATTGTGTAAATAGTGGAACCATGATTGTGTCAACTGATCTTTTGACGTTAACTCTAACCTTACAGACTTGCTGTTGACTTTTTGTCAACAAGCTCAGAACCAGACTTAGAACTAGATCTAGGCGAGGATAAACTATCCTTTCCTGATTTGTAACATGGTCCCATTCTCCATGAATATCATTTTTTAAAGAAAGGTTCCTTGGTGCGACATCACCCTCGAAGTGATGTACTGTTCCGGAAATTATATTTAAAAAAAGACATTGTGCATGGACATTTTAAGTTATTTCCAAGTATCCTTTACATTTTAAAAGTCTATTTAGGTATCCACTTTCTGGATCTTCGCTATACCCTAAAGGAACAGATGTATACTCAACAACAAAAGTTCCTGTGACACCAATATTTTAGTGTATTTTTCAAACAAGTAAAGTTTGGTTTTCAATATTGTAGTACATGTATGGAATCAAGTAACAAAAACGCAACTGCTACAGAAAAGCATGCAATCCATGCAAAAATTGACTTTTATGCAAGCCCACTGCATTTCACTACCCAAGAATGGGTATAAAAACATGTGCGTTAACAGGATTCCATATGCATTTTTAAGCATTGTGCTGACAACCACACAGAAAAACAACAAAATTACGCAATTATTCAACATTACGAAATGCCAGGCCTGTCCGAAAATGAGCGTCTGCGAGCCATTGGTATGCTTGAAGCAGGATCGAGTCAACGTGATGGTGCAAGACAATTTAACGTCCACAGAAACACCATTTGGTGTTTATGGCAACGTTGACAACAGACGAATGCAGTCAGAGACCATCCTCGGAGTGGCAGGCCACGCGTAACCAATAATCGACAAGACAACTGGATTCGAACAACACACCTACGAAATCGATTCCAGCCAGCAACAGTGACTGCAAGAAGCATCCCCGGCGTTTGACAAGTATCTTCACAAACCGTACTTCGCCGCCTCAGAGGTGCAGGGATTGTCGCCAGAAGACCCGCCAGACGTCCCATTTTGACAGGAAACCACCGTCAAGCACGTCTACAGTGGTGCAGACAGCGTCTACGCTGGAGTGAGTGAGTGAGTGAGTATGATTTTACGCCGCTTTTAGCAATATTCCAGCAATATCACGGCGGGGGACACCAGAAATGGGCTTCACACATTGTACCCATGTCAGGAATCGAACCCGGGTTTTCGGCGTGACGAGCGAACGCTTTAACCACTAGGCTACCCGACCGCCCCCGTCTACGCTGGACGGCCATGCAGTGGTGACATGTTCTATTCACAACAAGACAGAGGACCGTTTGATAGTGGTAGAGGGAAATCTCAATGGACAGCGCTACCGCGACGAGATCTGTTGTTCTACCGTTTTTGCGGCGTCATGGCCCAGGCATTACCTTATAACATGACAACGCCCGGCCTCATATTACTCCATTTTTTCAGGATTCTCGTCAACAAAACAACGTGAATGTCATCCCCTGGCCGGCTCGCTCCCCTGATCTCTCACCAATCGAGCACATATGGGTAAGATGGAGGTCAACCACGTGTTCTAAGGACACTCCAGGACTTTGTGCGACGCCTGGTCCATTCCATGAGACGAAGATGTGTTGCTGCCTCGCAACCAGAGGTAAACACACACGCTATTGATTTGTAAATTGACATTTTGGCATGTTCGTGTTTTTTTTTATGAAATCACGCATTTTCTGAAGTCAATATGGCAAATTAAACCATTTGAACACTTACAGGAGTCTTTTATCTGTTGCAAACCGAAATTGTTTCAGATTATGTAAAAAACATAACTTTGCATTCAATCTTATGCAGTGTCACAGGAACTTTTGTTGTTCAGTATAGATTGCAGACATTATGGGCAGTGCTAGACCAGGATTAACATGAAGTTGAAGGACTTAGTGAAACTTTATTCACTGCCATAAAATTGTAAAAAATGGAATTTGATGGACTGAGTTGATGGACGTGGTTGCTAACTATTTTTCAACATAATGCCCTCCGAGGTCCACACCCTTCTGCCAAATATACAGGAGTGTCTTGATCCCTCCAACGCAGAAGGCTTCCTCCTGGTGGTTTAAAAACTTCTCTATGTCAGACATGACGGTGCCAGACCTTGTGTAGTATCTTCTAAAGAAATATATAAAGCTACTTTTAGCTTTAGGACATTTAGAGCCGTTATCAAGCGACCATTTATGGATTGTTAGACCTGATTATAGCTGTCTTTCAATAATTTTCATATTTTAACCACGACAAGAAACATTGAAATCATTCACGAAAGATCGCGAAGATCCGGGTTAGAATTGGTCTTCAGCAGCCCATTCTTGTCGTAAAAGGAGACCAACGGTATCGGGTGGTCAGGCTCGCTGAATTGGTTGAAGCATGTGATCGTATCCCAATCACTGATTTGTCTGGTCTAGATTCGATTATTTACAGACCGCCGTCATATAGCTGGAATATTGCTGAGTGCGGCGTTAAACAACAAACCAACCAACAAACTTCAGCAGCTCATGCTTGCAGTAAAAGGCGACTGACAGGATCGGGTGATCAGGCTCGCTGACATGGTTTGACGATGCATGTCATCGTATCCCAATTGCGTGGATCGATGCTCAGGATATCAATCACTGGGTGGTCTTGTCCAGACTCGATTTTTTTACAGACCGCCGTCATATAGCTGGAATATTGCTGAGTGCGTCTTTAAACAACAAACAAACAAACACAACTGACGTAAGTCAATGTTTAGCGCTAAGATCGCTTTGTGGAACAAAACCCTGTTCAACCTCTGGATGGTCTGATGTCTACTCTGTCCTTTTGTGTACTAAAGCCGTTCCATTGGTCCCCTTTAAGCAGTAGCACTTTGTTTTTCAAGTATTATCTCGTGGTAAGCACCTATCATGCAAAAGCAACTTGTTTACTCTATCCCGTATTTTGGAGTGGCTATTTGGTGAGCCGTATCACCAATATATAATCCCGAATCTCTCTCTTAAATGATTAGGATGACACATGACAGAATTAAATCCTGTTCACAGATCTGTCAAATATTTACCTTAAAGAGAATTTACGTGACAAGATGATACGTTCACGTATTTTCATTGTTAGCCCTCAAATGCTCTATTCATTCATAACAAAAGCAAAAACTGACCTTAAGAACTTGACTGTAATTCGGTTTCAATGCTTTCATCAAAAGTACACCAACATTAAAAATCCAAAGATATTTAAAAACAGGACGCGATTGTCTTTAACAATAAAGTACCAGTTTCATCCCTGTTTAGTGCTAATGCTTGTGGAAATCTTATTGATATCCTATTCTATAGCATTTTCAAAAGAATGAGGTTATTCAGCAAAAAGCATTGCATGATTAATGCTTAATACCTATCAAGGATATCACACCTAGAATAAATTGCAAAATCTGAATTCAACAGATAAATGTGACGATAAAATACGGCAGATGGCTCTGGTAATTTGTTTCACACGCCGAATATGACTTCGTGTACTGTAATGAAACAGTAGAATGAGACATTAACAACTGATGATCAATACACGCCAATGTATAAAAAGAGTAACATGTCATAATCAGTACCAGAACTCCGACCGACGCACACCATGGACGTCCTGCTTGTGTTTGCTGTGCTGACATCCCTGTCCTCAGTGTCCACACTCAACAGTCTCATGAAGACATCAGATGGCAAGGTGGACCTCGACAGCGTCGTGACGCACGTGCTGCTTCTTGAGAAGACAGTGTCCAGCCTCACAACGTCTCTTGCGCGGGCGTTATCTAGTCAAACATGGATCCTAAAGCAGACAGTGTCCAACAACACCCACTGCGGGAAATCAGATTTGGATTCACTGACGTCGAAGGTTTACAATTTGAATGTCTCAATTATCAGCGCAAAATCTGAACTATCGTCCGCCTTAGAACAACTACGAAAACCACGCAGTAAGTAAATAACCATAATAATATTGATTATGCGCGGGTGTGCATGCATGCGTGTGTGCGTGCGTGCCTGTTTGCTTGTGTTCCTTTGTTAGTTTAGATGTGGGACAATTTCGTTTACATTGAAGAGGGGGATTATAAGGTAAATGATCGGTCGTCAGAAGAAAGATCAACTTTGACAAATGACTGCCAGCGATAGAATAGTTTCGGAACCAAAATATAAAGCCCCAACATTCCCGAAACATTGCATTTGGGTCATGCAATTCCTTTGTGGACGTGGGTAGGGGGGTCATTCTTGATTTGACACTTCGGTAAAAGGTCGTCAAATCGCTCAGAATCATCAATACTGCTGAACAAACAGTGACACGTAAGCTTTTTGACCACGACCAATCGTGGGGGGCATGACCTATTATTGATCAAGTCATCTCAAAGGTTATTTATTTTACTACACACCCCTGTTGTCTTTCTTGGTTGTTTTGCACCCTCACAATACACCGCCAACATGTCTCGTTGATGGTCATGTTACACCCAGTCGTTCTTTTTTTCTCATCTGTCCGTAACCATCGTTCGATACGGCTTTGCATTTCTGTAATCATCTGTTATAGTCGAATACCTTACTATTTTAGAGTATATGAGTATATTTTGCTTAAATCAAAGCGACAAAACCCTATCCATTAGAAATATCTGTCAAAAACAGAGTCGATTGCACGATTCAGACTACATCATGACCATGTGTTTATGAATAACTATGAAACTATAGTGATGATATGTTCACCTTTGTTTCGGATGTTAATAAATACTGGTGTTCTTTGGCGTTGTCAAGGGGATATGTAATTTACTAATGATTCCTGTTGAATACCCCTAAGGCCCTAAAGCATTTCTATTTTAAATATTTATTTAATTTTGAATGATTGACTTCCAGATTTGTTTGTGTCTTACCAAGTGAAAGAAAAGGCAGAAACAATCACTGTTCAGAACAAGGAGATTCTCAAATTTAACACAATCACCGAAAACAAAGGACGAGGGTACCATGCTGCTAGTGGTATATTTGAAGCTCCCGTGTCGGGCACCTACCTTTTCTGGGCCACCATCAAAAGCGGCGACAGTGGGACTCTCTTTATTAATTTGATCAAAGAAGGCGTTACCCTTTACACTGGATACAGTTCAAGACAACTCAGCTATGGCGTTGCAACCCTTATCTACGTGGTCTCAGTAAACAAAGGGGAGAAGGTCTGGTTTACAAAACCAGGTGAAACATTGAAAATCTGGGGTCTGTTCCAATCTAGTTATGGTGGTGTTCTCCTTCACGCAAGTTAAACTCCGACATGCATGAATAAACACGTTCACAGTGTTGCATGAAGTTAGATGAAGTATCGGTAAGTGGTATGAGTTTTACGCCATTAAAATAATAAAAGCAAGTTAAAATGTTGTTACTTGAGTTTTTTCTTTTGGTTTAATTTCAGTTAGTTTGTCTAATACACCATGCAGTATCTTATTTATGGACAAATAATATCTCAGCATTCGTTACAAAACATATTTCACTTTGATTGACCATAGTGTGGGTATGTAAATTGGGTATGTAAAGGTGAAGGTTACATTTCCCCAGAACAAATGACTTTATAAAGGTTATACCGACATCATACAGGTATTCAGTTATAAATATTAAACCAGAAGCATGGCAAAATGATTCAAAATGATTGAACAAGAGAAAAGAGTTCACTTAAACAGATTTGACAGAAGGAAAAGTGCTTTCATTATTATCAGGATGAGCACGTTCGGCATTGCCGTATAGAAACTATTGCAAACCTGGATTGCAAACCTGTCAAAAACAATATTTGACCACGATGTTGCGCAACAACTTGCCTTGTTCATAATATATGCATGACAGAAACGGGTCTTACTGACTGGGTGAGTGAGTGGGTTGGGTTTAACGCTGCTTTGAACATTATACCAGTTATTTTACCCCTTTCCCCTAACATCTAGGCGGATGGCACTATTGTTCAAGAAAAATAACTTTCCATATAAATTATTTTGCCTGTGAGGAGGATGAGTTTGTCACTTATTCAGTAGTTCAATTCTTTCTCAACTTATAGAATGGCGAGGAAAATGTTTTCAACAGGAGTTGAGAAACCCCAGAAAAGGTTGAAAACAATCATTTAATGAAACTAATAAAACTTAACACTGCAATCCAATGTTCAATTGTTTTAGTGTAGTCCAACGTTTTGTCTTAACATTTTTGTTTAGCATATTTGGATATTTACACTGTTTCTGGGTGTTTTGTCATAGTTTTGAAGCATGTTACATGGGTAAATATGATCACCATAACAAAAATGAAAGGCAATCAGTATCTGTATAGCATGGTGTTACCGTATGCAAATATCTGTGAAGTAGATTCTTATGACCACCAGGTGTTCCACACCTCTGTTCCACACATCTAAGATATTTGATATGCAGGGGAGTGGGGAGTTGTTTTTATGTTAGATATTTTCAAAACAAACTGGAGGGTTAATATAAAAGTAACACTGACTGGCGTTTGGTTTACATTTTATTATCAGTCACTGGTAATTTGCTAATGTAAATTGTCCGAGAAAACATTTCATATTTCAAACAATGGTTTCCAGTAGGAGATGAAACCTTCAGGCAAGAAGTAAGCATCCCCGTGGGCCCCAATTGCTGATCTGCTTCTTAATGCATATGAGTCGATATTTCTGCATACTTCGGGTATATCGATGATCTAATATCGTTCAATAATGGTCACATAGCAAGCTCCCATCTACTGCCACCTGAACTAGAAATAACAAAGACACATCTGTTTTATATGGGGATCTGTGCAAAACAATCATGCCAGAACCAATCACGGCTTACCCGCTATGGTAATCAGATCTACAAGTTTCAAAGGGTAACTCTCAACAATGGAGGAGGCTACCACGCACCTACTGGTATATTTGAATCTCCTGTGACTGGCACTTACCTATTCTGGGCCAGTATACTACCGTATTCAGGAAAATACGTCCACGTCGTCCTAATGAAAGAAAAACATGCATTGTTTTCCACTACTTCCAAGGGGGCTCCTGCGAGTTTTTCATACATTGTACGAGTCCGGCGGGGAGAAAAAGTGTGGTTTCGAACAGTCATTTGGTGTTCCGTCCACTCAGGTTATGGAGGAACCTTGATTCATCAGCACTGATTGTAACACCCCCAGTCAATCTGAATAAAGAAACTTTGGGTTAGAAGTTTGTCATCATTTCTGTTTGCTTACACATATGCGATTCTTTCTTATTAAGTTTATAATAATAATTAGTGACTATCGTTAAAATGTGCCTCTGTTAACGCAGCAAGGAATGGGTACCCGATAAGTCTCAAAAACCTTCTAGCGCCCGTAGGCAGCCTGGGTTGTATACTCCCCAGGGAGTTAAGATTGATGACTGGAATGCAAATAGATCTACTGATCGGGAAAGAAATAAAACTGCATTTGAGCAGATACTAGCACCTGGATACCTGCGGTATTTGAATGTCGAATAGTACGTAAAGAGTTTTCTAGATATCTTTGTGCGTAATCAATTGAAAATTATTAATTGAAGGATGTAACAACTAAAAAACATTTTTAATTTCACAGATGTGTTGCAGTAAAAAAACATCAGACGCTTCTGAGAAACTGATGTCACACTTGAAATATAAAATTGTGATTTTGTGAGAGATGAGGTCCTGGGTGATAAGAGGGAACAGCTTGTGTGCGAAATGACTTCCAGAAGTGAAATTCAATATCAGCAATAGTATATAAAAAGATCAGTTGTCAAAGTGATTTATTAGTCCCCCCAACACATACACACACTCCCCGTTTTGCATGCCATATTTCAAAATTCCAAATTCGTTCTCCAAATTAAGTAAGCAACCCTAAAAGCCCCAACCTAGGTTGCCTCACCTTTTCGGACATACCCTTTTCGACCAAACGCCAAATGGCCTGGCAGGCCCGTGCGCGAAATACGCATATGTCGGCAGGCGCACGTTAATTTCCTAATTTAAGTAAGTAAGTAAGCAGCCTGAAATAAAACAACAAATGATGTTCAAACGTTTGGTGTTGTTATGACATTTGAAGTTTGAACCATTTGGAAAAAAATGGCACATAACTGTGGCGTCTATTTATAATGTTCTAAAGCCGTCTTGCCCCTTCCTTTTTCCTTCAGTCATGTCTTGTTTCTGGTTAATGATTTCGTTGTTGTGAACAATAGAACTATGATACTGACTACATTTATAAGGTGGCTATCAGTAGATTTAATTGTATAATGTCCGTCCAAGTAAATGCGGTGACAAAATACGAATTATTGTGCATTTAAGACGGATCAATTCAGCTTTCATCTTCTTTCATAAATACATTTTTTCATAACATTTTCATGCTCAGATGGCGAGTACACGGTACGGTCTCTGACATGGCGTTATTTCCGAATTGAGCATAACACATGGCGATCTCACCTGAATATATCATGCAATAGATTTTATCTTTATTTGCGGGACTGGCTAAGCACACCGAGTTGTGAAAAACAATAACTCTTATCAGCGATGTCCATCTGTTATTCTTGTGAACAGCCAGGCGCAGGCCCGATCTGTCACCTCACAGTTACACCATTACACGCAGAGTGCCCAGTCGTAATGGGCTTAAACAATTCACACCAATGCACTATATGTTATAAACTTTTGTACAATGGCATTGTTTCTTAAAGTGGGCATCGCTGACGCAGTCGTCAAACATGCAACAAACCGCCGTGTAGAGTTGAACAGAGTCGTAAAGAGTCGTAAAGAGTCGTACAGAGTCGTACAGAGTCGTACAGAGTCGAATAGAGTCGTAAAGAGACCCTTAGGTCTACAAGAATCATAACTTCAGCCTTTCCCCCCACATGAATTTCACCTTCATCAAAATACCTTTCAAGGCGACGTAAAACCAAACTCACTTACTCACTCATTCCATTTGGAGTTTCAGCTGACAAAGACGTTGCACTACAAAAGCATCCTTTCAATGTGATGACTGTCAATGATAATTAAATAACCATTTATTCAAAACTGTGAGAGTTATAGAAATGAAGACCACAGAGATATAGATAAGGTTTGTTTATTAATCAGCTGATATGACATAATGTTGGACATAATTTATATTCTCTCGATCTAGTTCTGGGTTCCATGTATTTCATGATTTTTAAACTATAATCAACAACAGTAAACAACGCTCATAACGAACTCGAAGGGACCACTAATTTTAGTTCGTAATAACCGTAGTTCGTTATAAGCATACATACAGCATTTATGCAACAAATGGTCGGGACTAAAACATAAGTTCGTTACATGTGTCAGTTCGTTATAAGCGTGTTCTTTATAAACGTAGTTTCCTGTATGTCTAAAAACACGACATGATTGCACGACATCATGGCAAGGTTTTTGAGTGATATTCATAAACTTGATGCGTAACCAATGACAACATCCTTATGAAGCAGATACATTTGTATTAAAGAAGTTGATTATCCAGGGTCATTCGTGGGAGCATGCGGAACATTTATGTACACTTCAAGCAATACAAGACTGTTTCCAATATATGTATTGGCATAGACAGCATTTTGGAAGGTTTTATGGCACTTCAGAAAGGCACCCTTTTAGGTAACATTTCAGTAAGGTCTGTTTCGGTCGATATCTGGGATTGAAGTCTTTCAAGATCAAATATAAATATTTAAAAGGCTGAACATACATGCTGAGCTCATGATGTTGTTCTAATTTGGAACTGATGTCAAAAGACCAAAAATGTTTTTTCAAACAGTGTTTATATTTCTTAAGGTTGATTCACACGACTGTAGGGTCAGTCTTGCTATTCTTGCACAACTAATTACATATCAAAGTATACACTGATACATGCTAACACGGAAGAGAAACAACCAGACACAGTTTCCCACACGGACACCGTTTCATCCACGTTGTTCAATTACAGGAACGTGTTGCAGAACGTGGTCAAGGCTGCTCATGATGTAAATCCCATTACTTGTGGCTGCAAAGACTCATCTTGCAGCATACACGCTTGATCCAGTTTACAATATCCATTAGATCGACCCACTATGTATACTCGTATGAATGTTACCTTTCTATTACTAAATGTCCTGGAAACTTGGATGTGTTGACAATACACGTTAAGTTTTACATATGCTTGGCCCACTAAACAATGACCACTATTCCTAACATATGTGCCATGAATACTATGTGATGAATGTTATGATTGTATCTTATGCATCTGAAATACATAAAGTTTTAAATCTGCAATCTGCATAATTTACATGATTCTTGCGGCAACAGGATGACATAAATCGTTGTCAGCACTGGAAAGATTGTTAAAGGAAGCACTGTTGAACTTCTGATGCAGATCTGCTGATAATGCACAACGACGCATTTGTGAAA